TCGGGTTCGATTTGGTGTCATTGGGTTCGTATTCTCGAGACGCTCAGTTCAACTATAAGTTTGCTGAAATCGGAGTTCGAATGGTCCCAATTTTAATTTCAGAAGTTTCCAACTTAATTTTGCATCGAGATTCATGCCCGATCATGATAATTTTTTGGATGACATATCAATTTTGTTTGAACAAAAATCTTCAATTACTGTTTCATGCCATTCTTGTTTGTTGGAAGAATGAATCTATCAAAATTAATTAAAATTTTCTTAAATGCTTATGTCAACACATTTGCTCTATGTTAATGGATTATCGGATGTCACCATTCACCAACCTATTTGGTATCAGCATGTGGATTTGAACATTTTTTAGCCTTTTAAATGATGTGTCATTATTTGAGATAATTCAATATGTAACAATAAGTTAATTGAATAATAACAAATTATTTGAGTTGACTTCCCTTAGTAGTATTTCTTTAACCCACTTTGAGAAGTAATTGATGGATGTTACGATGAAGCTATGTCCTTTGAAGGATGGTGAATTGGTAGGGCCAATAGTAAATGCACCTCACATTTAAAAGGGCTATGGTGCCACCATTTTAGAGATCAATATTTGTCACGACAAGAAAATCTGATATGAATCTGACCCATAAATTTTGGGTTCGGGTCAACCCGTTTACGAAATGAGTCGGATTCGGAAACCATATTTTGACTTGATTGTATTTTTTCTGATCGGGTTAGGGTCAACCTGAAAACTCGAAAGCAACCCGAAACTGACCCGTTTCATTGTGCATCGCGGTCATCCATCGTGGTCGCCCGCTCGTAGGGCTCATAGTGCTCGCCTGTTAGCCCGCTTGTTGGGCTCGCAGTGCTCGCTTGCTCACCCACTCATCGGGCTCGTAATGCTCGCCCGCTAGTCTCACCTGCTCACCCGATCACGCTGGCTCGCCCACTCGACCGCCTGCGCTTAGTCACCAATCACCCTCATTCCTGATCAGTAGGTTGGGTCGTGCCATGCCAGGTTAGAGGAAGGTCTGGGTTTGTGACCTATTTAGCTAATCGAGTCGGGTCAGTTGAAGATGGGTTAATTTTGGGTTGACCCGAAACCCATTATGATACTCTAACACCATTTGATGAAGTGGATTGGGAGGTTGACCATATATTTTGCATTAGTTGCACTTATTTGGTGGGGATCATGCATGTAATCTATTATTTTGATTGGCCAATAATATTCAAATCTTTTGATTTTGATCTTCATTTCATGACTAGATAGTTGTGGGTGTTAAAGTCTTTCATAAACTTCAGTTATAACATTCTAGGTTCTATTATTGTCTATTTGTACAACTACATTTAATTCAAGAAGCTACAATAAAGAGTATTATTCATAAAAATGATTATATTTATATTTTTATTTTTAACATAATTAATTATTCTTTACATAACTTACTCTTATAAAATAGTTAATGATTGTTTATGTCCATTCATGTTCTTCTTTAGTAGTAGTTAATGTTGGAATTTTTTATATTTTAGAAGTCAACTTCTCTTGGGGTTGAAGTTATATAGGTATGGAGATCTTATATTTTGGATTGTCATTGTTACTGATTTTCTATTAAGGTTTGTCATATCTATGAAGGGTTTTGTGAGTGCATCCACCCTACTATTGTTCTTATAAGATGTTAAGGCCACATCAAGACAGTCGCTTCCCTCTAACTATCGGGGTGGATATCATATTCCTCACGCCTGACTATTTTGGGGTGCATTTCAAACCAAAAAAAGGCTCTAGTTTGTTCAGTTCAGTAAAGTTAACCGTCTACCATGCATAGCTGTGCCTGGCCAGACCGATAGCCAAGGCCGAGGCCAAGGTATGAATCATTGGCTGGATCGAGATGCATATCTCAATATAGAGAATGAGGGCTCTCATGAAGCCTTAGGGCGAAAGCAATTATTCCTCTCACATTATGAACTTTGCTAACTTCCTAAAACACTGGCGACCCTTCTTTCTTTTCATCATTTTCAAAAAGGGGAGCAAAGCTTGTTTTTTGCTCCCTCTATTGATAAATCAGGTTCCCTCCTGTCGTGATCTAACTTGAAATTATCAAAAAAATTGGAAACTATCTATCCTATTGAAGATCCTTATTCTCAGGCATCGTCTTTTTCAAAGAGTTTTTAAGGAAAGAGAAAACAAAAGACATGGCTAAGGGGTAAAGAATTTGTGACCACAAGGAAATATTTTGGCAAAGTTTTATGACCCATTTGATGATTTTTAAGAGGCATTTAACTTTATTAATCTTAAATTCTTGTATCATCTCAGTAATGATAACTCATGAATCGCCCATGATGTATTTTTTGAATGCTTAGGACTTATATTGTGTCAGTGGGAATTATATTGTAAAAATTTGGATAATTTTAGGGAACCTCTGAATTGGGTTCGTTTATATTAAGGAACTTGCTACATTTGGTGCCAATGGATAGAAAGATTAGAAGAGATGTTGTTGGAGTCCTCTTATTCAGTTAATTTATAAGCTGGTTTTGTGTTTATGGTTTATATGTCTATAGTGGAGGTGGATGGGTGAGTTTTTTTTTTGTTGTTGCAAATTTAACGATTTTTAAGACGAAAGATTGTATTTTGTTTTAATAGAAATGCGGGAAATGTGTTTATAGGGTTGGTTTTGAGAATGAAAGGATTTTAAAATTTATTTTATGTTTTTTTTTAGCTTGAAATCTTTTGGCATCAATTTCCTTAATTTGGCATGATTCACATTTTCCACTGTAGGGTATTTGTGTTCAAGCATGGTGGCTAGAGTTCAATGCTAATAAATGATTGCATTGCATGCTATCAATGCTTTGTCTATTGACTAGCTAGAAAATTGGAATTGGGTGTGTGTAATGTATTAAAATTTGAGTTTACTTACCATTAAAAAGAATCAAGATGTAATTTAAAAAATAAAAAAAGCAAAAAAACAAGATTGAATTATTAAACTTTTAGTTTTTATGTACCTGTTAAAACATTAGCATATGTTCTATCAAAAGGAGTTATATATTATGTATTTAATCATAGATCAATTGTTCAATTTGGATAAGTATGGATCCATATTCATGTGTTTCAAAAAAACAAGAGAAAAATATATGTTATTGAATGAAGACTTCATGAATATATTTTGTTGATGTCCGATAGTGTTACGTAAGTTGCAAACGCTATCCAAAATACAACAAGATTCTCTCAAGAAAAAAAAAATGTTCACCGAACTTATGACTGAGATATAAACCATTCATGGATTTTCTGAAGAAGAGATTGATACAATATATGCAAACTTATTGAAGAACCTGACAATGATACAATCTTTCCTATCAAAATCTATGGAGTTGAAGGCTAGATGGATGTGTAAAGAACTAAGGAAATTTATTTATGTTTTAAAAAATATTAGAACTTTTAATTATAATAGCTATATTTTTTGGAGTTCTTTTGTATATATATATATATATTTGCACGCACGCACGCGCGCGTGCATTTTGAGCTTTAATGCTTGTATTTTGGATTTATGAATCATTAATGGTAATGTTGAGTATGTTTGTAGAAATATTAAATTTACTCTAAATAGGATTGCTCATTTTCAAGTATCGAGTCATTCTATTTTCAAGTGCTCATGTTGCAATTCAGACTCCTGAGTTTATGTTTTTGATGATAACAAATATTATTGATTGTCAATTTATTTCTTCTATTATTTGTAGTGCATATTTGTTTGTGTTGACTAACATTTTAGATACAACATGCACTGTTCTCTGAAGATTCATGGCTCAAGGTTGTACGATATGAATAGATCACACTGCACGAAATCCAAATTGTACAATCCTAATAGGGAAATTTGAACTGATCGCATTGTACTAATTGGTAATCGTACAATACTAACAAGTTAAATTATGAGCATCATACTAAATGATTATGCATATTTACAATAAAAGACTAAATTACTTATTCCTTTTTTCATGCAACAAAACAAATCCTTAGTGTTTTTACAATAAAAGACTAAATTACTAATCTCTCAAATTTAACTATTGTAAATTATTTTTATTATTTTAAAAGATAAATTTTATATGTATATACATATGGGTGTCAATATTGGACACGATCCGAAAATCCGACACGAAAATTTTGGGATCGGGTTAGAGTTTTCGACTGGTTTCAAAAATCGGGTCGGATTCGGGTTGGCCCGAAAACTCGAGAATGACCAGCTGACCAAGCCTGTGGAGGCCAATACAGCATGACCGAGGCCACTCAAGTGCCTGCCATATGCCAATGTCGGGGGTGACCGCGCTGACCGAGGCTGCCGCATGCTTCTTTGCCCACGAGTCGCCCATCGTCGCATGCCGCGCTTGCTCTGTTGCTCGCATGCCTAGCCGTCCAGCACTCCAACCGTCCCGCCTCCGGCGTCCCACCGCCCATGTCCGGCTTGTGGCATACCGCTGTCCCACGTTCGACACACTTCTTTCGAGTTGTGTCGAGTTGACCCGAACCCGAAGCGGGTCAGGTTCGAGTCCGAAAAATTGACACGGTTGTAAAAATGGGTCGAGTTCGGGTTGACCCGAATGGTGTCGGGTCAGTTCCAGTAACTACTCGAACCCGACCCGTGACCCGAAATTGACACTCCTATATATACATGTAATCATGAGAGCTATGTTTCAGGATTGTGGGGCAGGTTTCAGGATATGCTTCAGAGATTGTGCGATCATGCGGGGTTAATTAGTACTTTTGATCTATGTAAAATAGAGGAAGCCCTAGATAAACAACCATAAAAAAGCTTTATATACTGACCAAATAATGGAGTTATAAACAAATTACTTTTATCAAGTATTACAGCCAAACAGCTTAAAAAATTAAGACGTTTTGAAAACCTAGACGCTATAATTAAGCCGAATAAAAACGGGAGACAAGGTCAAGCTCGAACCCGGTCGCGTCTGAGTTAGGTTCAAATGCCGCGTCAATAGACTGCCGAGTCAACGATCCGGCTTCCGGTTCGCAGTCGGAGCCCAAAGTCCCCAAATCTCCGCTTTCTCCTCGATTTGAAGCCTTCGTCCTCCTCCTCTATAAAGCACGCCTGCAGGAATCCATAGTTCTACCTCTACAAACTCAGACAGAAAAGTGATCGAATTCAGGCTCCGTACCAGGGCTTCCTTACTCTGCATATCTCTGCATCTTCCTTTTTCACTGTGTCTGAGATTATAAATTTCCATGCTCTGGGCTTAACGGCATACTAAAGAATTTCTTTTGCGTTCATTTGTGAACGGTAGAGAGAGCGCGCGGCCAGCAACTTCAAACGGTCATAATTAGAGGAGACGGAGGACAGTGGCCGAGACACAGAAAGGGGCGAGCAGCAGCGCTGGGTAGTGCAAAAAAACAACTTTTTTGCCCTTTTTTTATCCTTCTAGATTCGATTCCCGAGTGAATATCAGAGAGATTGGTGTTTATATGTGAGAGAAAGCGAGCGAGGGAGGTGCAAGATAAGAGAAGATAGTTGGCCAGAAGGCGCTGGGTTAAGGATCGATCGGAAGTTTACTATTGATCCGATCTGCGCAAGGAGCCCGTGCCTTGTTTTTGCGGTGAAGAAGTGAGGAATAATACATTATTAGAGATAGATTTTTTTGGAATTGGATTTGGTTTTGGGTTCACGATGCCGGAGGGTGGTTACCACTGTTCGAAGAAGACGGATGATATTTGTGAGAATGTCTGCGGCCAGGTAATTTTTTGTTGCAAATCTGTTAAAATGTTTAATTTTTTCGTAAATCTGTTTGATTTTTTTGTCGATTTTGATGCCTTGGGTAAATTGATGGCAATCGCATCGATCTGGGAGGTTTCTTTTTTGTTTCCGCCTCAAAGCCCTTGAATGTTGGGGTTTCTGGTTGGTGCTTTATTCGTCTTTTATATGTTTCTCGGATTGGTTTCGCAATCGTTTTCCACATTGGATCTGAAAGCAAAGCACTTCGTTTCCTTTATCCGTGGTTGTTCGGGATTTTGCAGAGCTTTCTTTTTTCTTCGTAAATAACACGCCTGCTTCTGTCTCTCCTTCTTCTGCTTTTTGACTATCTTTAGATCGCAATCGATCAAAAATCTGGATTACTTATTTTTATTTATTGTAAAATGGCTAACAGGCTTCTAGGGTGGGATTGAATATGTCAAGGCTTCTATGCATTCTCCGGGGATTTGATCTGAAGGCTCTTTTGCTTTTATTTGTGGGTATCCCACTGTTCATCCTTGGAATCTACTTACATGGCCAAAAGTTTACCTACTTCCTCCGACCGCTCTGGGACACTCCCCCTAAACCTTTCAATGTTATCCCCCATTACTACAATGAAAACGTTTCAATGGAGAACCTTTGCAAGCTTCATGGCTGGGGAATTCGGGAAACTCCAAGGCGGGTCTTCGATGCTGCTCTCTTTAACAATGAAGTTGATATGCTTTCTATTAGGTGGAATGAACTGCACCCCTATGTGTCGGAGTTTGTTCTTCTAGAATCCAATTCTACCTTCACTGGGAGGGTAAAGCCCCTCTTTTTCGCTCTTAACCGTGACAAGTTTAAATTTGTGGAGTCCAGGCTGACTTATGGTGTTGTTGGCGGTAGATTTAAGAAGGGAGAGAATCCTTTTGTTGAGGAGTCTTACCAGAGAGTGGCTCTTGATCAACTTATCAGAATTGCCGGCATAACTGATGATGATTTGCTCATCATGTCCGATGTTGATGAGATCCCCAGTGGCCACACCATCAACCTTCTGAAGTGGTGTGATGACATTCCTGATAAGCTTCATCTGCAGCTCAAGAACTATCTGTATTCCTTCGAATTCTATCTTGATGATGATAGTTGGAGGGCCTCCGTTCATCGATATAAGCATGGAAAGACAAGATATGCTCATTTTCGTCAAGCAGATGACTTGTTGGCAGATTCAGGGTGGCATTGTAGCTTCTGCTTCCGCTATCTCAGTGAATTTGCCTTCAAGATGAAGGCCTACAGCCATGTTGATCGTGTGAAGTTCTTTTATTACTTGAAGCCTTCAAGGATTCAGGAAGTGATTTGTCGAGGAGCCGACCTTTTTGATATGCTTCCAGAGGAGTACACATTCCAGAAGATTATTGCAAAATTGGGTCCAATTCCCAGTTCTTATTCAGCTGTGCATCTTCCTGGGTATCTTCTTCAGAATGTTAACAAATTCAAGTATCTTTTGCCTGGCAACTGCAAGAGAGAGAGTGGTTGAGTGCCATATTTTCAGTATGAGATTTTTCCATACACATTATAGGGCATACTCTTCGAATACCCTGAGATATTTGTCTAACTTAGTTTGATGATTCTTTTTAGGGAATTTCGCAAGCGTGACCGAGAGAACTTTCATTTTTTTTGTGTTTTGCCATTGTATTTAAGGAATAGGTTGTATTGTATCATGCTTGCGGCGGTTGGGATTTGTTCGATTGCCCGAACTTCTTCTTGAGGATTATAGATAGGATGCTGATCTTCATCCTTTCATCCGTTATTGGTATGCTGTGCCATAGAATTCAATGTAAAGTGCATACCAAGTGAAATTCTTAATCTTTAATATCATGGAGATTTTTTAATTCCTTTAAATGTGACTGATCCTATATTATTCTTTCTTTACACCTTGTACTCTTTACTACTTAATTGAACCATTAGTTCATTTTAACTATTTTTTATGGTAGTGCCTAGGTCAAAACATTACATAGAGCAAAAACGTTGGGATTGAAATTCTAAGTAAAATGGCTTTGTTTTTTTTTTTGTTGCTTTTGTTAAGTATTTCTAGGACTTACAATATCCTCATGGCCTGTGGATTTACAGAAAATTAACCTGGAAGGTATAAATGCTTGAGGGATTATATATACCAAAGCTTTTTTAAAGGAGTAATCCGGTGCTTGCAAAATGTCATAACCAATGCAAAAAGGTTGAATTGAAATAGTTTTATATGTTTCATATGTAGATGGATGGCATAAAGCACTATTGCATCACCCTTTACAGATTATTATTATTATTATAAATTTTTTTATGTTTTTCGAAATGGCAATGTTTTCTCAGATGTTCTACCTTTTTTTTTATATTTAATTCTGTATTTGGATGGACGCATGAAATTCTTTTGAAACCTGATGAGTTTGACTTTGAATAGGAGAAACAATGGGTGATATTATGCAGATCATATTTTTTTTACGTTGATTTAAAATATTTTAGATTTAAGCTTCGTTTGGAACGGCTTTCTTACTACTTCTTAAAACAATTTTTTAGTTTAAAATTTTTAATTTTTATACTAAAAAGATACTTTAAGAAGCAATAAGAAAGCCGTCCCAAACGAACGAAGCCTTATTTTGAGATAACTGAGATGCATGGACAATTAATCGACTCTTATATTGCACTCATTTTCAAATAATTTTAAGGATTCTAAAACACATTATGGCCAAATTTTGGTAATAATATTTTCACCTTTTTCTCTTTTGAATATTGATCTTATGTAGGTATTACACAGGGAGATAGTTTCTTCTTCAATTGATTTTATAATTTATATTTTATCACCCCCTTGTTATCATGACTCATGACATTACAATTTGAGAAAAATTTTGGATCAGTATATTCTGATCAAAATTTGATTAAAATGAGTTCTATATCTATCAAAGTTTCTTTGGGATGTGTATCAATTAAAGCTTATATTGCACTTATTTCAAAATTATGTGTACAAAAGCTATATTCCTCCATTGCCATTGCCTCTTGGTAATTTGTTGTGATGATCAAGCTAGCTGTGAGTATCTGTTTTGATGCACAAAGTTCTTTCTAACAGGAGAACCTCTATTTGTTGGGATTAGATCTATTGTGAGTATTTATAGTATTTCTCCAAAAGTTTTTCTAATTAGCTAAGTTTCTCAATATTTATTAAATAAACCTTGTATTACCTGTGTTTGCAGGGACAAATACTTCCAGAGAATCTTCCAAATTATAAGGTGCCCAGTCTTAGCATGAAGACTTTTTCAGTTTTACCTTATCAAGTCTTTTCCATTGCACTAATCGTCTCCTATTCATGTATTTACCTATAGTTGCTAAGTTGAGGAGATAGTTTACTCTGTCCGAGTGGGAACTTATGATGTTATTACCAGAATAAGGGAATTTAGAGGACTGTAAAGTCTTAGCTTTACTTTGTTCACAACTAGAATTTGTCTGAGAAAAAATCAATAGATGATATTATATAAGAAGTTGAAGAAAAGTTCAGCATATTGAGTTGCATATGCTGACCATGTCTTTTAGGCTATTTTTTCTTTAAATTATAGTTCATGTTTGAGAAACACATACTTGTTGCATAATATTATCGATTTAAGCTATATTCCTAATTATAATTACACAATTTTTTTTATTTGAGGATGAATTCATACTTGTTTAAAGGCTTGATGGTGTAGTTATTTGGTTGATTGACTGAAATAAATATTAGGCCATACCTATTGTGTAAAAGAGATTTACATAATATAATTTATATGATTGCAGGAAAATTTAAAGAAAAAATTGCCATACTAATATAAATATATATGGTTTTTTTTTTTTTTAAATCTTAAGAGGGAGGGGGCTGAGAACTTGTACATGCCTCTCACTAATTCGACCACTTTCAAGATTCAACTAAAAATCTTGAACCGACCTAGCCGGCCCCATATGGGCCAGCTCTAGTCTACAGGAGGTGGGTCAAATCCCCTCCTATGTGATTGCCACCCAAGCCATGGGCCCCACAAGGCTAATTAAGGGAGTCAGCTAGGTTAGGAGGAAAATGAATTTTAAATTCAAGTGAATTAAAGCTTTAAATAGACATGAGAGGTTAGGGTTATGTTGGATTATTGTTTCTCTTGAGTTCTCTTTGGTGATTTGGGCTCTAGATTCTTCGTCTAGAGATTGGGAGAGAACGATCCTCCTCTCGAATTGATGATCAATTGTTTTTTGCTTTATGTTTGCTTTGCTTTGATTTCACTAATACAATCTACTGTCTTGGGTTGATTTCGTTGGCGTTCTTGTGTTCTTTATTGCTATTTTTTACCAATTTGTTCTTAGGGTTGCTTGCGAACTCAAGTATTTCCTATCAGATTCATTGGTTGGCGGGACTTTTTTTTTCTTTTTTTTTAAGTTTGTAAATACAAACAATGTTGATTGATGTTTGCACTCTTCTAGTTAAGAAATGATATACACTCCAAAAAAAAAAAAAAAAAAAAACTCATGCCACAAGGTCACGTTAAAATGATTTGACATTCTTCCCATTTTTATTGATCCACCTAAACTCTAGTGGTTCTAATAAATTGCTGTGTATATTTGTTTGGGGAGTGTAGCAATATTCCATCTGTTCTGGTAGGTAATGATTAGAGCTTGGACATCCTCAAGCTTTTCTTTTGAGAATATAAAAATCATCTTAGCATGATCTGCCTCTTGTGATGATCCTTTCACTGGTACTTGTAGCTGAATGCTGATTGCTGCCAAACTGTTGTAACATCTAAGATTACCAATGGGCAAGAAGAAAGGAGCTGTAGAAGGTGAACCAGTTACTCTGTTTTATTTATCTTTTGTTATGCAGAGCGAGCTGCTATGTATAAAGCCTGGAAAATGTTTACTATATTTTGATTTCATAGAGAAAAGTTTTACTAGTTCATTCATTCTTTTAAAATATGATTGAACTCTTTATGTGGCTAAGGTTTTTGTAACCCAGGTTGATTGGTTAAGAAAGTTCAGAAATCCCAATCCTTGCAGGAGTTGAAATATTTGTTGGTTTCTCCTTATTTTCTCAAATTCTTGGTTGAGTTGAAGATGGCATAAGATTAAGAACTTTTTAGATTCTTCCTTGAAGGTATTTTTTGTCTTCTTCTAGATTTCTAGCATATTCTTCATTCTTTTTGTAAGGCTCTTGATGTTTATTTTATGGTGAGAATTATTTCATTATTCAATTGAGGAACAACGCGGACTTATATCATTATTGATCACTAAGGACTGGACATTGCCGCCATGGTTGTTCTCTGGCTTAGTTTTTCTCATTCTAGGGTTGTTACTTCTCTACGAAATCTATAAAATGTACCTCTTTTGGCTGAAGATACGTCTCTGACCCCTCATAAGGTTCAATGATGCTTTCTTAGGCTTCATTTGGGATAATTTTTTTACTGCTTCTTAAAACAATTTTTTAATAAAAAATTTTAATTTTTTTATTAAAAAGTTGCTTTAAGAAGCAGTAAGAAAGCCGTTCCAAACGAAGCCTTAATTAGACACTTCCTTTTGATATTTTCTTAATCATTTTATATTTCTTCTTTGGTGTGTTATAAATCGGAACTTATTCCCTACAATCATCTTTGCCCAATGCTTGCATGTCTCTTCTTTGACTCTAAATTTTATAAATTTATAGTTCCAAAGATCATCCCATCACAACAATTTGAAAATGTCAAACTCATTCAAATTTAATTTCTTCATAGCATTAAAGTTGATTGGTTAGAGATCAAACTATCTTGAGTCAGATTGATCAATTTAGTCAATCATTTTTTTTGCAAAGTTCAACAAAGGTCATACAAGAGGGTTTGGAGTGACAAAAGTATACAAATTTGACCTCAATTTGTACTTATTGCGAGTGATACATAAATGGTGTCTAATCATCAAATATTTTTGTCTAATTTTGCGCTCTGATTTCACATTGTTTAAGGCTTCGTTTGGAACGGCTTTCTTACCGCTTCTTAAAGCACTATTTAGTACAAATGTTTAAAATTTTGTACTAAAAAGCTGTTTTAAGAAGCGATAAGAAAGCCGTCCCAAACGAAACCTAAAACTTTTCACATTTCTTATACTGCTACAAACCTTTACCTTAACTTCTTTAGATATATTGCTTTAAAAGCTTTGAAATAGCATACTCAACCACAAAGGTCATTCACCATAGTGTAGGGTTTTTATATTGTATTTGCACCTCCAATTTTGAAGAATGATGATGATTCCTAATATATGACTATAATTAATACAAACTATTTCAGTAAGTTATACCTCATAATTTTTTTTTTTTTGAAGCAAAAGTTGTCTCTTGTGTGTTGTAATGTTATATTTATGATTGTATATAAAATCTTCTTCTGAAATTAAGATAATAAATTCTCTTCATTTAATGCTTTAAGATAAACTGCAAATCATTTGGAGCAAAAATGACCAAAAACTACTAGTATAGATCTCATTGAGCTCCTAAAATACTTAAATTGAGTATGGAACATAAAAAAAAAAAAAAAATCTTTAGGAATCCAAAAAAAAATCAAAATAGTCCCAATTAACTCCTAGAACAAGACCCCTATGGTGTGCATGAAGCAATTTTTGCAAACTTGTATCCTTTCCTCCTTTTTTTGGGAATCTATAATAATAATGATGATAATAAACAAATGTTCCAATCAACATTAACATTAACACTTATTGTAGCCAACAAGTGAAGCATATATGCTATCAACACAAATGTTGATGTCCATCATCTCTGGTCTCTATAAAGGCCAAATATTGTTTTCTTGGTTGCTACTCCTTCTCTATAAATAGAAAACTCAAGCAAACCATAATGATCACTTGATGATATTTTTTATATCTCAATGTTTCACTTATTTTCATCTTGTAAGTCATTTTCAACAGTTAATATTAACTGCATTATATGAATATTTTTCCATTGAATTCAGATTTATTTGGTGGATGATGCTTGACCGTACTTTATGGATCTATATCTCTGACATCTTTTTGGTTGTCTTTCGATGCCTCTATTTATAGAGCTTGGAGACTTATATTATAATATATATGGAGTATAGGAGTTATACTACCAGTCTTTGGTGGCACTTACAATGAATTTTCAGTATATTTGCAACTCCCCAAATTGGATGAATTTCAAATACATAAAAAATGAATTAGATGATAAATTTTAAATACACCAAAATTTTACACTGCATTTATTTTACTTCAAACAAACGTTAATATTTTTAAACCACCGTCGCCCAACTACAGTCCTACTGGCCGAACGAACAGACTCACACTCTTTTGAGAATAACTCTCATATCACTAGATTCTTCCAACTACCACCATGTAATGTGCTCTATATGATGTATAATTACTACATCAAGCCAAGTCCTTCCCCACATATAAGGGCCTCATTTGTAATCAATAATGAACACTAGTAGAACTATTTCAATTGGGTCAGGTCATATGATTTTATTCCTTTTTTAGGGGTGTTTCTTATTAATGTTATACCCCCAATCTTTCATTTGTTTGTGTGCTGGATCTTTGTACAAAGTTAGGTCACTAAACTCCATATCTCTCTACCGCCATGAATTTTTCAAGACACAATCTTTGTATATACCTTAAATGTTTTCAATTAGAAATTATTATTACTCATATTTATGTAGCAATGTTGATATCACAAACAAAAATTAATTAATGATATCATATCTATTTTAATTAAATATTTTTTTTACTTAGAAAAGATTATTACTCATATTTAAACAGCATTCCAAATGAAAAGATTCATTAAGACTAGATGAACATTCCACTAAACATGGAGGAAACAAGCATAGAATTACTAGTTCCTCTGACCAAGCGTAGTAGGATATGTGGCTATGAAACGCGTCCAGTCGTTATGAAACGGATACGTTCAGCTAGAAAATATAAAGAAATTGGTTAGAGTTAATCTAAATAATTATTGATTTACACAATTAAATTTTGATTAGTTTTAAGAAACTTAGAATTACGAAAGCAACTACTACTACAAAAGCTATCTTTTGCATTTATCAATTAAGCCCTTAACATATGATATAATTTAAAAAAAAATATATCCCTTAGAGAAGCATCATTAAATATGTAGTACATTAAAAAAATAATGTAAAAAAATCATTTAGAGAGCAATTTTATAACTGTAAGAACTGACTTTCTATAATACAAATAAATTTGCTATAGTCCTAAGTTTTGTTTTGCCAAATGAAGCCAATCTTCTATTTACTAGGCAAAAACTAAAAAAAAAAAAAGGGCAAAAACTCAAAAAAGCCCTAATTACCCATCTTCTTCTTCATTTTCTCTCTACCTTCAAATCTTCTAAGCAAAATAATATATTTACAATAAAGCTATACAACTCATTTAAACATCGCTTGCTCACCTACACCCTCGAAGCAGCACAAGAAGCTTGGCTACAGAGGGCACAAACAAGCAACTAAGTAGATACTCTAATGAGTGAGAAGAATTGGAGGTTAAAGTCGCCTGTTTAACGGGCAATTTTGCTCTGACAACTCATAAAGACATACTATCAATTTTGATTGGTTTAACTGATGGATTAAGGAATAAGTTGCACGTTTAATTGACGACTTCGATTACTTTAAGGTGTTATTTGGTAGCACCTAGGATTCGATTTAATTAGGATTTCGTAAATCCTCTAAATTCGGATTTTGAAAATCCTGAGGGGCTTAAATCATGAAAATTGTTTGATAACATTCATAATAAATCCTATTAAATCTAGTGTAACTGTTTGGCTATAGAGCGGATTTAATGAGCGGACTTTTCCTCTCGAACCAATGTATTTCGTTAATCCAACAAAAAATATGATTTCGGAAATATGAGATTTAGCATGATAAAGCGGAATTTTTCATCTACGAAGGCTTTTATTAGCCGTGAGATTTGATTTTATATTTTAGGCCGTTTGGCTGGATTTCGCACAAATCTGCCTCAAATCCGGCCTAAGTCCTGCTAGCAAACAGCCCCTTTAAAAAAAAAAAAAAAGAAGAGGCTTAAACTCTTAATTCGTTTCGTAATTATGGTTAGTTTAAAATTCACGCTTAACAATTATGCCGTTACTCTGTCGCCTGGTTTATTCTCTTACAAGCAACCAAGCATTAGTCCGATCAAAAGACGATAAAGCCCCTCCAAGCTTTTCTTGGAGAAGAAGTAAAAGCTGGCCTACGCGCTCGGAGCCGTTCCCATTCCCCGAGACGACAACTGATCCGAACCGGACCAAAGCAACTCCACTCCGCCCGACCGTTCACAGACTCATATATTGGTCGGACCGGCACTGAACATGAAGCGGTTTAGTAAGACCGAACCAGTACGGTGTTCCAGCACTTCCCGCCATCCACGGTTCGTACTATTTTATAATTTTCCTTTGGCTGATTATAAATGGCGTTCGAGGTCAAGTCGTCGTTCACTCGTTCTTCTCAGCTTTCTCGCTACGCAGACTCGACGGCAACAGGGTATCTTCTTGCTACTGAGCTCAGTTCTTGACTACTCTCCTCCGATACTATCGATCGAGCTAATGAAGGAATGGCGAGGTAGGCTTCATTCGTGGAAGCCCTAATCAGTTTCATTGATTTAGTCTTTAATGCTTTTCTCGCCTAATTTTGGAAGTAATGGATAATCCTAAGGGATTATTGATGTTAGCTTTCTACTTTGTTTAATGGAGCTGAAAATCGGTATTAAAACCTATGCAAATTTTGGGAAATGGCATTGGAGATGTGTTAGCTTACGTGAATTCCATCTATGTTGAGTGTTTAGAAGATACGTTGGGGCCGGGGAGCTGGGAGAGCAGATTCTCGATTGATGTGCTGGAATGCTCTGAGCCTTTATGGAAATCGCTTTGTTTTTCTCTGCACTTTTGATCTCGTGAAGAAGGAAAAGAAAACCACTTATAGAAAAAAAGTTCTGGGTTTTCAGTTAATGTATGGGAACTGGTGTTTAGGGCTTCATTTGTTAAAAATATATAAGATCTTAATAGTGTTTGCTTAAATATCATTGCTATTAATTGCTAAGTTTCTATTACGTTATGACTTATAGGGCATGGTTGACAAATTGTCGGGGGATTGCGAAAAAGGTGAAGAATGCTACCTCTTATTCGAATTATCAACTATGCGATTTGGGAGCTGAAGCGAATCGTGAATGCCCAAATTGTCAACATATAATCGATAACAGTGATGTAAGCTCTCTTAATCAATGCCATTTTACCCACACTCTTTTCATTTAAGTCGTTTACATATTTAGATGCTTCTCGGAGCTTAACTAGATGGTTGCTGTGATCTCTTTCTGTCTGATAAAATTTAAATTTTGGGATTATTTTTTCATTAGTGAATTTAAGTTCCGGTCTTTCTATTTCGAGCAGAGATTTCTGCAAATGTAGAGGCTTGCTAAGAATAGTTTGCAGCTAACCTTTTGTGCATTATTTTAACAGTGCTAGGAACATAGTTGAATGTGAACAGAAACTATTATGTAATACTTTCTGATTCGGTAATTCCAGTTTATTTATTAAACTCTTATGCATACATAAAACATGTTTACAATAGAGAAAATGACCAAACTGTTCTGCAGAGAGAGCAATTATAGTATGCTTAAATGTTTCCAAAGAGAGATGCCAACTGTTTGTTTCTTGCTCTGAAGGTTTCTTTGGAATTGCCTGGCCTTCCTGCTGGTGTAAAGTTTGATCCCACTGATGTAGAACTTCTAGAGCATCTGGCAGGAAAGATAGGGGTCGGGATTGCCAAAGCCCATATCTTTATCGATGAATTCATTCCAACTCTTGATGGAGAACAAGGAATTTGCTGTACACACCCTGAGAATCTCCCTGGTAAGAATTAACTGGCAAGTTTATCTATTCCCACATACCTATGTTCAGGGCGGATTCAGACTTAATTTTCAGGGAGACAAACTTATAAGCAAAAGTGTAGAGTTTTTTTTTTCATAAATGTCCTTACAATCAAAATTTGTTCCGAGGTCGCTACCTCTCGACCCCTATTTGTTCATTGATGTACGCTTCGCATATATGTCAGGGGTCTAAGAGGGTAGTTCGACCTGATTTTCTTGGCGGGGTTCCTTACAAATTTTGGTTGTAAGGATATTTTTTAATTTTCTTTACTATTTCTCTTTGTATTGAGTTCATCGTTTCCTAACAATAACATCTCTACACAATATGTTTAATTATGTTGGGCAATTGTCTAAATGTCATAGTATTTTAGAACTTTTCGGGGGGCAATTGCCTAAAAATTATTGTAATAAAAATAAAAAAATACATGGAGGGGAACAAATTATCTAAAGAATCATATAATAAAATCTTTTTATATGGCTTAGGTGCAAGGAAAGATGGAACTAGTGTACACTTTTTTCACAGATCATTAAATGCATATTCGACTGGAAATAGAAAGCGTCGCAAGATATGTGGCGAGGCCGAGGAAAGTGTAAGGTGGCACAAGACCGGCAAAACGAAACCAGTGATAGAGAATGGTATTCTGAAAGGCTGGAAGAAGATCATGGTTCTATACACAAGTTTTGGGAAGGGTAACAAGCCAGACAAAGCTAAATGGGTGTTGCATCAGTATCATCTTGGGATGGACGAAGAGGAAAAAGATGGACAATTGGTTGTTTCAAAGATTTTCTTCCAGCAAACAAAGCAAATGGAGAGTAATGAGACTGATGAGAATGTTCAAGAAAAGCCGAATGTGTTAGCAACCAGATACAGTCCAAGAACACCTAAAACTATGACTCCGCGGCCACATCGGTCTAAGATGAATCCTTTATATAAAGCTAACGAGGAAGTTCCTCTTCTCTTGGAAGTTCAGGTAAGTCTTAGATACTTCATTATATCATTTTCTTTAGCTGGTTTCGCTATGAAATTAGACGTGCTGCAGATGTTTGTATTGTTTATAGATAGAATTTTTAGTTTTTTGTCTTCATAAAAACGCTTTTTTTTTTTCTGAAATTGGAATAATAATTTAATTCTAATTTAAAATTAGAATAATAACTTAATCTAATTATGTTTACTTGCTGATTTTTCTAATATTTTTAGTTTTGAAATTGTATGGTAAAATTCAGAATAATTTTAATCTCATTTAATATTACAATTTAAAATTTTAAAATAAATATATATTTAAAAAAATTTCATGCTAACTAAAATTAAACTAAAGCTTTGTTTTGAACAATTTTTTTACTAATTTGTAAAGTTATTGTAGAGAAAATAATATTTTAAAGTTATTATAAAAAATAATTTCCTAATATAATTTTTTTTAAAGCAGCAAAAATAATAACAAAATAACGATTATAATTAAAGTCTTAAAAGTAAAATAGTAAGAAAGTTATTTCAAATGAAACTTAACTATTATTTTAATTTTAAATTATAATTAAGTTATTATTCTAATTTTGATATTTCAATTTATATTTCAAAAAAAAAAAGCACCAAATAAAAAAGTATTTTCTAAAAAAAGTTTAAATAAAAAAGCATTTTATATGAAAATGTAAAATAAATAGTTTTCATGAAACTTCAAATTATAAAACCATTTTCAATAAAGAAAAATTGCATATCTTTTTACTTCTTTTCTAAATAAAATTTTCACCACATTCGTCCCTAAAAATCATCAACAGATGCTCCTTCCTAAAATTTCACCTACATAACATATAAAAAATATTTCATTCTTTAAAAATGAAAGCTAAATTACTGAAAAAGTCAAAAAAATAAATAAAACAATGTTAAACAGATCCTTAAAGTATCCATTAATGTCCTTAGTAATAGGGGAGAAATGCTATAATATTAAACCTAAGCCTGACCACCTTTTCAGGAGGAACAAGCTCCAGAATCTGAATTGCCTCCATCGACATTGCCCACTGTCAATCTGAAGGATGAAGAAACAGGATCCCATTACTGGGCGGGTGAATCACAAGCCATAGATGAACCAAATCCTCAGCTGCTAAATGAGTCATTTTTATACCATGAAGTGCTCAAACAATTTCCTCCCTTAGCAGAATCTCCCCTTCAACTTCACCAACCAGACATGCTTATTGGCTGCAAAGATCAGTTTTTTATGTATGCAGATGGTTTCCCCAGCCTTGATGACATAGAGGTTGACACTCCACCAGATTTTCAGCTTTCTGTAAGATCTTTTCTTCTTTTCTCAACATAGGTCCGTTTGGAACGGCTTGCTTATTGCTTCTTTAAGTAGCTTTTTAGTATAATTTTTTTTTTTGATACTAGAAAGCTGCTTTAAGAAGCGATAAGAAAGCTGTCCGGGACAAAATCATAATCTAGCTCATGACTTCCATAATTTTCTTATACGGTGACCCTGTAATGCAGGATTTGCAATTTAGTTCACAAGATAGCTGGTTGGGCCGGCTGTAGAATGATTACACCAAGGTCTATCGTGAGCTGCTAATGATGATTATTTTGCAGATCAAGTGATCTGAATCTATTAAGATGAACTGTATTAGGTGAGGTAGAAGAGCGGCATTTTCCAGTGCCAATTATGCATCCTTTTGCTGTAAATTATATGTTTGTTGTGTTCAAAATCTTGACATTCTTACTTGTAAAAGATTTGAGGACCTTTCAAAGTGATTGCATGGCTTAGAACATGGCAGGCATGCCATCAAGTGTTTATGCCTTGTGCTAGTTATTTTCTATGACTTGTTTTCATTGGCTCATAAGTGTCTTGCGAGAAATTATTCAGTGCTGACGTGGTTGCACCTGATTCGTCAGCAGTATCGAGCCGCGATACACAGCGAAGGGGTGATGTAGCGCATTCTAATTTGTCTTCTGATGACGTTTGACGTATGTACAGAATAATTAATTATTTTCTAGGCATAGAGCAACTTCAAGTGTTCAATGATGATATTCTATTATGCTAATTGGAAAATTTTGGGCTTGCAATATGCTGATTTGGTTGAATAAGATCTGTCCCAATCTAATTGAAGAAACGCATTAGGTTGTTCCAATTAGGCTTTTTAGTGTTTTTATAATAAATTCTTCAAGTAAACAACTATATCATCTCTTCTTATATACCTTTGGTGATAAAAGATGATCAATTCTTCAATATTCTATGTTAACATTGGTCAGAATTAATAAGATTATGTGTATCCATTGATCAACCTTGCAATCTTGCAAGCTTAATTGTGATTTCTATTGTTGAGAAATTTCACTAGCTAGATATTCTGATATTATAATAACAATAAAATTAAGCTTTTATCTCATTATGTGGGGCCGACTACTTGAATTATTTTTCTTTATTGTGTCATATTAAGAGTCAAATTCTTATTTAATAAAAAAATTTATTTATAATAAAAAATATTTATGTCGATATATTTTGTAATAACAAAATGTTTAAAATGAGTTTTAAAGCTATTGGAACTAGGTTGAGATGAGTGGAATACATCACTAATTTATATTGCACTCATATAAAACAGATTAAATTTCAACAAGAATTATAATACTATGAATTTACTCTTATATTATGCAAAACCATAAATTTCAACAAATTTAAAATGTAATGTGTTAATTCAGATTTGAAATAATTTAAATTAATTATTCAGAATTATTTAATTAAAAATCAGAATTCTCAAGGTTTTGAAAACCGGACTGAACAACGGACCGAAAGAAGGAGAGGTTCACGGTTTTACTACCGGTTCGATTAGTCAAATAGGAGTCAAATCGGATGACGCAATAAATAATAATATTATTAAAATTTATAAAATAAATGATAAATTTTCTTTGGTTTCAGCACCCAGTAACCAACTAAGATTTAGATAACTCTATTCAGCTCAAGTTTAACAAAATCCCACAGCATTTTGACCATAAGATTAAGCGAATATATCACAAATATTAACAGTAGATGTTCTCATTCAAAAAGCATCTAACAAGCATAGTAATCAAATTTGTCTTCAAAGTAGAGCAAATAATATATAAGAGTAAAGTACGAGAGATTATTAGGTGCGGAGTACGGACGGGGAGAACCGTCTGCACAAGTATTGGGTACCTAGCGGTACCCGCACTTGGTACCGCTGGGTGCCATTAGGTACCGCTAGGTACTCAGTACTTGTACGGACAGTACGCAATCCGCACTTAATAATTTTTCGTAAAGTACATACTGCTAGTGCAAGAAGTTGAACATTTGGATTCTTGTTCATAGGACGTTTCTTTATGCCTGCAAATAGTGCAAAATATATAATCTAAGATTTTAAGGAAATATGAGAAGGAGATGTGATGCTAAGTAGAAGAATGATACCTTTACTGTTTGTCTACTCCAATTCGCGAATGATCCGAGCAGTGACGAAGGAGGAGCGAAGCAGTACGGCTTCAGGAGTTACACGAGTAGGAGAAATAGCGAAATACAATTAGGTTTTAATTTTTAGTACTTGAGTTATTTCTCAAATATCCGCATTATTGAAATCACACGGCTGAGATTTTGCGTCTAAGCTTAACTGAGCGGTCTGAGGCCGGTCTCCGGTTTGCCAATTTCACAGCGGTCGGATCGGTTCAATTCGGATTCTTTGTTTAGCCAATTTCAGAGTTTATTCGGGCCGGTCGGCCGGCCGGATACCGGTTCAACCTGTTGAGATTTCTTTTGTAAATTATATTATTCATTTTATGATTTTGAAGATGCAATTATTATTTTTAGGAAGAGTGTAGTCCTGTTTTACAGTATCGACTAGTAGTGGCGCCCACTGTCTTCGCCCCTCGAACAAATAAACCCCTTGGCCTGTCGCATATTTCCGAGGCATAGCTAGGATTAGGATGGCCGGAGGAGGAGCAAAGGCGGAGCCGGAGGAAGAGCTTTCTAGTCGCAGCAGCAGTGGCGGTGATTCTGAAAAGTGGGAGACCTCAGAGGAAGGCAGAACCAATTCCAAAGGCAAGCTGCTGCCTGATGGTTTTCTCGACCCTCTTCCGCCTCAGAAATCCTTAAAGCGTCCAAGATTTTGTGGTGAGTTTCGTTCCATTGTCTCTACGTTCCTTTCTTTCTTTCATCAATTTAGAGCTGTGCCATTTCTCATTGTAACAGAATAAGAATTGGTCACAAGTTCAATACAGCTGTTTTTTTTTTTTTTTAATCTTTTGGAATAAAAGCAGTGAATTTGGAAAGCACCTTAGAGGGATTTGAGCTAAGCCTTCCAAACAATACGAAGGTGTTTGCTAAATTCCAAATTAATCAAATTCAGGTTTTGGCTGGAACTTCAATTTTGTAAATCCTGCCTGGGCTGTGATTACTGGATTTAATAATAAGATTTAGCTAAGTGAGATTGAAATTTTAGGTCTTATCTAAGTGCATGGTTGAGTGTCCAGCGTAGCAAGTTTGAGCTTACAAAGTAAAAATCACGTAGGGTAGGAAGAAGCGAGACGGTTGGTGTTATTGAACGGGAATCAATGAAGTAAAAGCAGAACTCCCTGAGTTCCTTTTTTCACGCCTGCTCTAGGCCGCCTATAACAATGTTTTTTGCCTTGTTATATCCTTTTAATTTTTTTAATGGCCGCCCATTGGTGGTAGCCATTGAGGAGATAAACATTGGAGGAGAGCTTTCGGAGGAGACATGTTGGAGGCATCAGGTTGCTTATAAATTGTCCTAGCATTCCTTCTTTCCATTCTCCTCCACTTTCCAGCACTCTCGCTTCTTCTCCGTTCTTCATTTTTCAATTAATGCAAATGTTATATAGAGTTTGGCCGTCCCAAATATTGCAATGATTTTGACAATTTCGTTGTGCTATTTTTATTCAAGTATTTTTTTAATGTTAAATGTATTTATTTTTTCAAAATTGTAATTCAAATTTAATTAACGTTCTTTGAAATTCCATAGCATTTTTAATTGATGTAAACAATAAATACAAACATGATGAAATAATAAAATTTATTTGTTTTAATAATAGAATTATAAAACTAATTTTGTTACTTATGTTTGTAATTTCAAAAGAAATTTTGAAGTTTGTTTAGTGGGCATAAACACTTATACTATTTATAGTTTTATAATAAATATGCAATTTTTCTTTAATTTTTTTGTAAATTAATTTGTATAATACAACAACAACAACATCATCAAGCCTTTATCCCACTACATGTGGTTGGCTACATGAATCCTTTTTCTCCATTGTGTCCTATTAAAGGTCAAATTCTTGTTTAAATCTAATAAAGAAAGGTCATTCCTAATATTTTCTAACCAAGTCTTTTTAGGTCTGCCTCTACCTTTCTTAACATAACTCAAATCTAATACATCTACTCTCCTAACCGGGTCATTGGAAGGCCGCTATTTTATGTGACCAAACCATCTAAGGCGACTCTCTCTAATCTTATCTTCTACTAGAGCTACTCCAACCTTTTCACGTATACGCTCATTTCATATCCTATCTCTAAGGGTAAAGCCACTCATCCACCTGAGCATCCTCATCTCTGTCACACTTAACTTAGTATTATGCTTCTCTTTTAATAGCCAACATTCAGCACCATAAAGCATTGCAGGCCTCACTACCATCTTATAGAATTTTTTCTTAAGTTTGATGGGTACTTTTCTATCACACAACAAGCCCGATGCATTCCTCCACTTCAACCATCCAACTTGAATTATGTTGATAATATCTCCATCAATTTCACCATTACTCTGAATAATAGATCCAAGATATCTAAAACGTGTACTCTTATTAATGACTTGATCGTCCAAAGTCACAATCCCCTCACTAGGTCTATTACTACTAAAATTACACTCTATATATTCCGTTTTAGTTCTACTCAAGCGAAAACCTTTAGTCTCTAATGTTGACCTCCATAATTCAAGTTTACTTTCAACTCCCTCTCTAGTCTTATCAACAAGAAGAATATCATCAGCAAAAAGCATACACCAAGGTACATCCTCTTGCAAATGTCTAGTGAGAACATCCATGACTAAAGATATGGGCTTAAGGCTGATCCTTGATGTAACCCAACCGAAATAGGGAAATACTTGGTCAAACCACCTTGTGTTTGAACACAAAATAAATATCTATGATGACATCGTTGATTTTATGTTTGATGTTATTTTTTGATGTAGAGTTACAAGTTGTAGATGATTGCCTATTGTGTCACTGAGAGAAATCGTCCAATTTAAATTTTAGAGCCATTGTCAGTTAGCATTATTGGAGGCTAACAAGCACATCTTAGTTGTGTAAGTGAAAAGGAGTACATGCACAAAACTTATAACATTGGTGTTGTTTCTCTAGGGGCTTTAATTGTTTTGGCCAAAACTACACTAATTTATATGTTAATGCTGTTTTTCTTCATTATTTAATGGATTTAAAATAGCATAATTAGAATTATGTTAATGAATACAATCTTACTTTTGTAAACCAATGTTTATAAAATTAGTTTCATATGTTGGCAAATTGTCTAGGCACTCTTGTTTGCCTCCTCCATTCGAATCATATATTTGTAATGATTTTGAATCGATTGAATACTTTCCATTGATGCACAAATATTACCTCACATAGAAGCCTATGAAATAATATATAGTGGTTCGAGTCCTGATTCAAGTGTGACAAGGGATGGTGATTATAATACCAGGGTTGAATTAGATGACAATGGACAGTTGCTAGGTCACTTGCTATTATGCTAACATGCATTTGTCAATGTTGAACTTGTTGATGCAATGATATTGAATAACAAGTTTTCCAAAACAATTCACACAACATAGAAGTGAGATATAACTAGCTAATCATGGTCCATCAATTAACTTCAACTCAAGGTGAGGTAAATCCATATCAGTTGCTTATCTGAATGATTTTTGCAAGCAAGGTCAAGCTTTTGTGTGAGCTAAATGGGTGGTCTATTTTTAATAATGTGGAATATTAATGCATGCTTCAAATAAAATGAGAACAATGGTTGAGTATAGCAAAATCATCCTTTGCGTCCATGTAACTAGCATCTACATGCTCCTATGAATCACATTTAGGATGGTCTTGAAGGGCTCGAGCATGGGGTTCTCATATGTGCATGCATCCTATATTGCTGGTTGATCATCAAAACTTCACTTATTTGTTCATATGCGATTATATTGCCCTAATGATTCACCAAAATTTTGATCCAAAACCGGAAGAAATTATAAGATGAATGGAGTCAAAGTTTGAATAATAGTTTCATGCATCAAAGCGTGAGAAAAGGCTATTTAAATACAATTCGTAGTTATGAGAAATCATACCGCTTGCTTTCGGTTCATGGAGTCAAGTTGACATTTTCATAGCATGTTTAGGCTTTTGGACCATACATGTATGATTGAAAATTCTATAGGCCTGCATTTAGTATAAATGATATATTTCCTCGGTAGATACCAAGTGACATTGATGCGAATAATGGTCCATTCCTATTAAGTCTAAGTGGAATGAGTCATGATTGTGGTTTCTCATAACGTTTCATGATTTAATGAATCTTGTTTGCCTTTGTAGGGACCTATGTATAATCTCAAGTAGAAATTTTAGTGGAGGGGGTTGCAACTTACTAAAATATAGTTATATTATCTGTCAAGCTCTCATATGATGCATCATAACATTTATCAACAAATGAGCTTTTGTTTATCCCACATACTAAGATAATATAAAGAAATCAAAGTGCAATAAGCGAAGATATCCAAAGGCAATATGTATGCTAGCATACTTAAATTTCAAGTGTTTGATATGGCATGTCGAGCATACCGAATTAACATTACTTCTAAAGATCAATGTTGGTGCACTTTTAATAAATAAAAAAATACCATAAGCCATGTGCTCGTGCTATCACGTGCTTGGTGTAAAACTCTTGGATCATATTGCTTTTGTGTCAAAGTTCTTCACAGTAGAAAGTTATAACCAATGTTTTATAAACAAGATTGGATGGTTCGACCAATTCAACCATGAATTGGTCCCTAGATCGGTTTAGCTTATATAAAACTGTTTTCTTAGAATTATATCATGCTGGTTAGAACCACCAGTGATTATAAAAGAACACACAAGGCTCTCTTATATATCATCTTTGAGAGGTATTCAAGCCATTGCACAACTTTAATGTAGACATTGTGGGTTTACGTCTGCCTTCTTTTAGAAGAAAAGAAGATAAGCCATAAACAATAAGAATTCAAAATATAATGATGAACATGCAACATGTACAAAAGTGTCTATCTGATTTGCAAGATGACATTACATAATAGTGCTACTTGCCCAAATAATTAGAAATGTATTAGTTTTGTTTAATCACTTATAAAATTATTTGTTAATAACATTCATTGCTATTTGTTCTTAATAGGAATGGTTGAAGGTGCTTGTAAGCAAGGACAACGTAGAGTTAAACGACGTGATGCACTGCGAGAGGATATTATGGATTCGAAAACATTAGAAGTACACCCTAGTATTGCCAATTTACGAGGGTTACATCGAGCCGCACATCCAAATGAGGTACTTGATTTCACAAACAATAATACTAAAGTGTGATTTGTAGAGTCGAATGTTTTTTTTTTCCTTCTAATTTTTAAGTTTACATTACTTCACAGGGTACCATATTAGGAGCAGCTAGCCATCTCCTTATGGCTAATGAATGGCAAGTTCGATGTCCTCGTTTCATTGATGCATTAGAGCATGCGGGCATTGCCTGTATTAGGCACTTGCAATTCATTAGATTAGACCACCATCTCATCACAGCACTAGTTGAGCGTTGGTGTCCTCAGACGAACACATTCCACCTACCTGTGGGAGAGATGACAATTACCTTGCAAGATGTTCAAATAATCTTGGGTGTTAGGACTGATGGCCCGGCTTTAGTTGGGCCTATTGCTATAGGTTTGGGGCATAGATGGTTGTCTTGGCCAGATTGTTGTGACGAGTTATTGGGTAGTCATCCTGAGGAAGATGTGGTCTACCATCATCCAAGTGAGCAAAATCAAACATCAAATTTTCGAATGGGATCGGCTCAAGCCCGAACATGCATACCATTGAGATGGCTCAGATGGACATTTTATAGGGAATCTTATATGGACTTGACCATGAATGATTTGCTTAGACATGTTAGGGCCTATATATTGTATATGTTAGGTTGCTTCCTTTTACCTGACACCTCAGGGTCACATATGCATTTACAATATTTGCCATTATTGGAGGACTTAGGCGAGTTTTCTCAATACTCATTAGGAGGTTCGATATTAGCCCACCTATATAGGGAGTTGAAGGAGGCAACAAAACCCACTCGAGTGTACATGGCTGGGTGCTTACATCTCTTACAAGTATGGGCTTGGGAACGATTACATGTTGGACGACCTACTCTGCATGTGCCTTTTCCGAGAGATATTACTGGCAAACCACTAGGCTATAGGTATTTTTTTTTTTTACAATTGAGAATGTTACATTTATGCATTCATTATGTCTTTCTATTTGCTAACAATTGATAATAACCTCGCAGGTGGAATGAGGAGAGAGTACGCGAGGTGCCCATAGGAAATGTAAGGATGTATAGAGATGAGATCGATGGCCTACAACAAAGCCAAGTATTTGTGTTATAATTTATTATGGATTAATCTTATTCACCATACTATCTTCTATGATTAATTTGGTAAATTTTATAAATAGGTAATTTGGGAACCATACACACCGGCACTAATGGTTTGGTTACCAAAAATATGCGTAGATGGTATGGAGATTTGGCAGGCCAGAGTTCCACTTATTAGTTGGAAGCGTGTTGAGTGGCACTTACCAGACCGAGTTATGCGGCAATTTGGTGGGAGGCAATTGATTGAGCTTGAGCCAATGGAACGTACTTTTAGGAGAGTTGATGGTAGGGGTAGGGCTAATGTTGATTGGATGGAATACCACTATAATTACATTGAGATGTGGAATAAAAGAAGAGCATACATTATAGTGGTTACACCTCGTGGGGATGACCAGGAAGATCTATTGAGGTATATGCATTGGTATAGGTCATGGGCTTCATTATACCTATTAAAGGCTCCTATAGCACCACCAAATACATATTACCCCAAGGCTCCGGTTGAACGGATAATGGTACTCAAAATCTTGTATGATAATTTAAGAAACAAATTATTTAAATATGTAAATAAACACATCTTTAATTTGCAGATGGACTATTATGTACGGTCGAAGTGCATTTTACGTCCATTTTTTGGTGGAAAATGCAATGGTGCCAGAGCCATGCAACTTGCTATTGATGAGGTGGCTTCATTATGCAACAGAGTTGAGAGTGCAATTCATATAGATTTTGGTGCAGTTGAGGATCCCATCAGGGACAACACTCACAGAGGTACATCACCATCATCAGTTGTTGGTGCAGGAGCATCAAGAGTTAGAGATCAGGAGCCATCATCTTCTACAAACCAATGACCATTAACTTACATAGAAGTTAGATCAATGATGATTCAGAATACAAGGCCATTAGGAACAATTCCATTCCCTCGATTGTGGCCACCTTTTAATCTAAACTAGAATGCTTCAGAAGGTGTCAATTGCCATCATATTTGCATGTTCCTTTTACATCGATGCCTTACAGTATGATTGTGCTGTTCTAGTTGTCACCAGCCACTATGTCAACATTGCCAGTCTGCACCCGGCCAATTTTGGATGCCACTTAAGTAACAATATGGCACTTACTAATGCTTCCACATCAGCAAAACCCAATGTTAAGGTAGAGAACAATGTCGTGGAGCTTCGGCTACGGGCAAGCCATTTACGAGGACCAGAAAACTCTCATTCATATCTGGTGCTATTCTATATAGAGGTAATGATGTACTCATTATCATCTAGTTGCTCAAAATAGTTTCATTCTGTTTTTTTTTTAAGTTTCAAGTGTATTCATATACATTTTCTTAGTTATTTTTCTTTGCTCGGTCATTTTGCTTTTACTATGGCTTAACAGTATGGTCATAGGAATCTGAAGGAATCTAATGCTATTTATTATTATAAAAAAATTGACCTATATCAATTAATTCCAAATAAATGGCTACACAAATAATATAAATTTAATCCTGTTTTTTCATTTTTATGTGCATTTTCAGTTATGTCTAATTTTGTTGTCCTCTTACAGTCGTTTAATGAAATTTTTATCTAGTATTATGAAGATAAGTAATGGTTGGAATAATGTTTTTATATTATTGCTAGTATCCATTAGAGCTAATTCAATGTTATAATGAACTAGTTAATGAGTTCACTCATTTTATCAACCATATATGGGCACAAGCTAATGATGAATTACTTTTGAAATTATATGTGGAGTAGATGGCTACAAACAAAGCCGAAGGTGATAATTTTCTTATTGAATTAGTTTGGCGTTTGATACACAAGAAAATTGTTGAAACTACATGTCACTTTGAGATTGCATGAAATTCAAGTGAGATTCCATAAGCTTATGAAAACATCACATAAGAAACAAGATTCGATGTATCTTGAACATAATGTAGATTGTCATTGTACACTACTTCTAGATTGGAAACTCTTTAAGGATGAGCTCTTAATGAAATGATATAATCAATTAACTCTAGTATGGTTGCCTCACGAAAAGAAAGATATTATATATTGGGGAGTAGTGGCAAGTGATGCAATGATGCTTCAACTTTTTCAATTGCAACATCACCAAAATCAATTGCCATCATTAGTACACAAGCTGAATAATGATGAAAGCTCTATAGTGGTGACCATAATGTATTGCTACAAATGTGAACTTTTTCACTTAATCAGCATATTCTTCTTATTTTGTATCACACCTACCTAAGTATTATCTTCGATAAAAATTGTTAGTTAAATGATACTTAATTTTTCGACCCTAAGCCCTAGTTTCAAGTTCAAGTAATGCATACAAGTAATTTAAAAAAAATTTATGTATTATGTACTATTAGTTTCTAACTAAAAGTTTATTCTTCAAATTTGATGGAAATAGCCCTAAAGGCATGCTCTTCACCTTATCATTTCTAAATTTATTTAAAAAAAAAAATACAATCGTTCTTCAATTAAATTTGTCTCAAATTAATTATGTTTATGAGAAAAAGATCAAAATGGTACCTAGACTTTTTATGGGCATTGTTTTTATGCCAGATTATCTTATATGCCCCATTTACTCTTTTGAATTCTCAAATATGATCGAAAACAATTCATTAAACCCTCAAATATGATCCAAAATAATCTAACAAAAGGACTATTTTGGATCATAATTGAGGAGTCAATAGACTAAATTGAATGCATTTATATTTGGGGACTAAAATAGTCTAGCAATTATTTTAACCTTTTTTTCTATTGTTTAATATCAATTTATTATGAGAAGTTATATCTAAATTTTATCCAAAATTATTCATATCAGATTGTACCTAAATCTTGATTTATACTCCAGCACAGTTAAAAATAAAATAATATTGGGAGAAATACCTTATTATAAAGCATATTGCACCTCCATGTAGGATTTATTATCATAGTAGTAACTTAAATGGAAGATCTTTCAATTGTTTTTGATACTCCACTTCGATGATATACAGTTGAAGTTAATTGTTTTTTTCTGTGAAGATGTAATTGTTTTTTTCTGTGAAGATGTAATCTGGAATCTGCACATTCTCCTTTGTGACTAGATTAGTTATATCACTATTGGAGTCGGATTCCACTAAATAGGCTTTACACTATTGGTAGGATAACTTTGTTAATTTTAAGAGGCAAAAGGCCAACCGAATGATTTTTTTTAATAGAATTAAGGGATCAGTTCGAGATTGAAAGGTGATAGAATGGGATTGATTAGGAAGAGCTAAGTTTTAGCATCATTCCTGTAATTTTGAGAAACATAATTGACATATCATACAACATTCAACTATAATAATGAAGAATGAGGATTCATAATGGCAGTGAAAGATAGTTTGGATGAGGTTAATGAAATTTATGCTAAGTGGCATGGTGATCTAAATACTTTTTTTTGCGTTGTCAAGTTGTGCAAATAATTATCAATACATTCCGGCTTTTTGAATTTCATTTTTATAAATTACCTGAATTTACTTTAGACAAGTGATGGGTGATATGGTGATGGTGGTTTCATATTGGATCCTACAAATGATTGTATTTGACATTGGAGTTCTTTGGCTCCAGATATTATCAAATTTTCATATGGAAAAATAATTATGTTTAGAGATCTTAGTTATTGTAGAGCTGGTTTTTGTTAGATCGGTCCAACCGATCCACACGGGACCAGCTTAGGTGGACACACGGGACCACCTCAGGTGGACAGAGGCAGCTTCTGCCTCTCCGGTACGCATCGACCGAACCGCAAGAGCCAATAGAGCAGTTTAGGAAGGATTTTGAGGGAGTTAGGAGGGAAATTTGAATGTAGTGACTGTTTAGAGATTTCCTTTTGGATTGTATGCATTAAATAGTTTGTTACTTTGTTTTCCTAGGGTTAGTATATCTTGAATTTGGCTGAAATTTGAGATCTCTTAGGTTTTTTTGGGCTCTAGTGGCGTCTAGAGATTTGGGAGAGATAGATCCTCCTTTCAAATATAGGATCAATTGTATCTTGTTATTTTCCTTCCGTTAGGTTGATTATTCTAATAAAAACTATTGTTTTTTCAGTTTTTCGTTTGGATTGGTTGATCGTTCTTGCTGTTTTTGTCAAGATCGTTAGGTTTCACTCTTATTTTGTTTTTAAGATATGAATATATCTTTAATATTTTATCATTGAAAGTATAGCATAAATGCAGTTGTAGAGCTTATATGTCAATCAATTTCTTGTTGACGGGCTTCGGATTATCTTGATGAAGTAGTTCTTAGATTGATACATTTTTTATCTGTTTGCTTTCAGGATGATGTGTTGGCTGATATTTTAAACATTTCTCAGTTCCTAAGTCCCAATATCGCTGGCTTCCTCTTTTTCTATGGGCATCGGTTAAGCCTCTTGCGTATTGTTTGAATCTATCGATTTGTCTATTTGGAAAGCCTTCTGCAATCTCTGGAAGATGTTGATGGTTCTCTTAGTCTGTTTAGATAGAATTTCTTTCCTTTTTCATTTTTCCTTCATTTTTTTGAAGTATCATTTGCTTTGTAGACTACATCTATCCTGCTTTTGGTAGACCAATTATTTTCAGCTGAACTTTACATATTCTATTTATCAAGAAGGTATCTCCCTTTGCATTATAAGAGTCTGTTTGGGATTGCTGCAGTATTTTATAAAGCTGGTAATAAAATTGTTCTAGAGCAAGCAACTTTACTACTATGGTTGCAGAAAACAGCTTTCCGCTCCATAAATTTCTAAAAAGTTTTGAGAAAGAAGCGAGAAAATGATAAAAAAACAGTACCCAAATAAAATTATGAATGTTGTCTGAAAAGCACAACAGTCATAAAATTGTCTCAAATAGAACCTAAGTTTGTAGTAATTGTCTCCCAACTCCATCGCTCAACAATAATTCAAAGCTATGAACCATTATTGCCTCCTGGCCTTTACCCCAAAGAGTTTTTGGAATTGCCAAACAAATCAAAAGGTTTGTTTGAGATAGCTTTCTAATTGCTTTATTTATTAGATCATAATAATTATTTTTTTTTGCTACAGGTTTTTTTTATTATTTTCAATAAATTTTTTTACTAGGAGGCTACTTTCTTCAATAGCTTTTAAAAAGATATTCTCACCCACATTATCAATTTCTATATTGTAACAAAAAAAAAGTCAGTCTCATACAATTATTTATTAATTATTTAAAATAAGATAATATGTATTATTTATAATTATTGAAATTAAAAATATTTAATTTTATTATGAAATTGAGAGAGAGAGGGAGAGAGTATTGTCCTTTTAAAGAAAAGTTATTTTTCTTCCATATCTTTCACAATTTATTTTAAAATTTTAATGATTATAATGGAAAGAAGTAAGAAGTATTTTGATAATTAAAAATAAATAACCATTTTTTTAAGATAAATAGTAGATTTTAAGATTCAAAATTTGACTTAGCTTAATCTGGTATAGACTTAGCTAAATTCAAGTTTAATTTGATTTGTGCTTAATTGGCTCATTAAACATTTAAATGGCTTCAATGCAACCAAATTTTAATTAAAATTTTAACTAATCCTTAATCTCTAAGCAACATTTAAATCCCTTGCATCATAGTTAAAATTTTAACTAAACAGCTTGATGGGACAAATCCAATGAGCCCATCGTCAAATTCTAACATCACTAAGGCATTCAAATGTCCAATAAACTGTCAACGATAAAGGGATTCAACATCAGTTATCCATTCAAACCACATTTCTGTTATCCATTCAAACCACATTTCTCATGGAGGGGAGGAGAAAAGAAGGCATCGAAGCAAGAAGGAAAAGAAGATATGAGAGGAAGATAAATAATTGCCACCAAGCTCCTCATTGACCACCTCCAGGTCATCGATTGATGCCGGACATCCACCTTTCACTGGATTTCTACCTGACGTCAAACTTCCACCAGTCCTCGAACTTCTACCCGTCGCTAGACTTCCGCCCATTGCGAGACTTCTACCCAACGCCGGACTTCCGCCCGTCGTTAGAACTTTGCCAGTCTCTGGACTTTTATCGAACTTTTACCCGACGTTGGACTTCCACAGATCATCGAACTTCTGTCTATTGCCAGACTTTCGTCGGACTTCCACCTGATGCCGTAATTAATTTTATATAAAATAATAATTTTTCTTAATAAAATTAAAAATTATGTGAAAATATATAAAATAGAGATTTAATCAAACTTCTTATCAAGTTTATTCACAAACTTTAATTTGTATTGTTCATGAATATAAACGGGCTGAATACCAAATTATTTATATTTGTTTATTTTACACCCCTAAAATTTATCTAAACTTATTTGATTATTTAAATAAATCGATTGTGAACAAGGTCTGGTTTTCATTTGCACCTAAAGAATTTAGCCTAAAAAAAAAAAGAGATTATTACGTGGATTTTAGAATTTGTAACGTCGCAACGGGCTCTACATTGGGTGATATAACGACTACTAATTATCATCCGACGCCTTTCATTTTTTGAAAAAAAGAGAGGTGGTATAATTTTGAATCCTGCAGTACCGAATGTAAATGGCGGTGCTTCAACTTCTCGTCATCCGTCCGATCAAAAGAGCCGGTATCGGACGACCCCAAACTGGACAAGGAGGACGCGGGAAACTGCGTTTGCGGTGGCCAGTGTCCTGGATTATGGGTTTACTAAAACGCATTGGGCATTGCTTTTCTCCTATTTCCGAGGGAAGCTAGGATTAGGATGGCCGGAGGTGGAGCAAAGGCGGAGCCGGAGGAAGAGCTTTCGAGTAGCAGTGGTGGCGGGAGTTCTGAGAACTGGGAGAGGTCAGAGGAAGGCATTACTAAATCCAAGAACAAAGTGCTGCCCGATGGTTTTCTCGACCCTCTTCCTCGTCATGAATCCTCCAACCTGCAACGGTTTTCTGGTGAGTTTGTTTCCGTGGTCGCTTCTTTTCTTTCTTTTTTTCCTTCAATCCGGAGTTCTACCATATTTAATTGTAAAAGAAAATCAATCGGTCACAAGTTCAATGCATGTTTTTTTTCTTTTTTTAATCTTTTGGAGTGAAAGAAAATCAGAAAGATTGGAGCCGCTGGCTTTCTCTTTCGCCCTCTCCTCCCATCTTTAGTGAAAGTAAGCTACCGGCATTTTCTCTCCTGTATTTTTGTCATTTGATTGTGGGATTTATTAGGGATGTTGAGCTAAAACCGCTAAACAATGCACAGGGATTTGCTAAATTGGGAATTGAATAAAGCCGGTATTTTGGCTGGAACATCGATTAAGTAAATCCGGCCCGGGCTCAGGTTACTGGATTTAATAAGATTTAGGGAAGTGGGATTGGAAATTTTGGCCTTTTCTTAGTTGATAGTTGGTTATGCAACGTAGCAAGTTTTCCTGCTCTAACATAATGTAACTAAGAAGTACTTACAAAGGAAAAATTTCCAAGCACTTTGTAAGAGTGATAATTGTCACAGTTTCGATCAAGGAGGTATTGCAACCAAGGAGAACAAACACCCCCACTCAAGCACTTAGCAAGGAGGTGGTTGTATGGAAATGGCAAGGAAATATTTATTTTATTATTCTTATTAAGAGGGGAAGCCTTTTACATTTAGAACTTTTGCGTGACATAAAATGAAACATCAAATTTTGATGTAGTTAAGACCATAAAAACTTGATGACCCGACAATATAAATGGAATATGAGATATACAAACATAAACATAGCATTTATGGTAGGCGAAGCTATCATCTTCTTATTTGGGCCTCTTGTTTTGCATTGAAGCCCCTTTCTAAAAACAGAGCAGTGTTTGTTTTGTTGGGTGAGTTGCTATTTCTTTGATCACAAAACAAAACCCATGTTCAATATTGTCCCCTTCTCGACACCCTTTCTATTTGGGAAAAAACATTAAAAAAAATTCAAATTGATCACTAGGGTAAGTGAGAAGGCTAGATAGAATATTTGTTCAACAATTATGATGTTGGAAGAACTTTTGATTGAAGTAGTGAAATGTATAACTTCTATAGGGAAAATTGACCGCCATTGTAGACATGTCCTAAATATCCCAAAATTTTTATAATATATTTTGATCTAAAGTTATTCAAAATGTATTAATGGTGTACCCAAGGGCGGAACTACCTAGAATTAAGTGGGGGGGGGGGGGGCAGCCCCCC